TCTCTCTCTCTCTCTCTCTCTCTCTCTCTCTCTCTCATCCCGCACAAGTCTGCACCCCTTCTGCCTGCTGTTGCCATGGAAATATCCCCGACCATATTTGGATGAATCCAGCCGAGCAGCTGGGGTGACATGCGGCGCATGCGCATGTGTTTATGTGAATGGCTCTGTGCATGTGTGGGTGCATCTCTATATGAGTGTGTGACTGGCTTTCTGATGCCCAGCAGTCGTTACATTCAGCACCGTTTGAAAAAGATCCTACTGGTAATGCTAATGGTCATTTCACTGAATTTCATATCAGAGCCTGAACATGTCTGAGCTGATATTTTACGACCTCTCTGCCCTCTCGTCCATTGTGACTCTTCTTCCTTATCAGTCAGTCTGTTCCCGTACCACTTCTTTTCTTCCGCCTCTCATCTGTGACTTAATCTCATCGTCTCTCAACGCCTGTCACTGAATCCAGCTGTTTGCGTTGTGTCAGAGTGTAAAGAGTGTGATGTTTGAGAACGGAGATCCCTGAACAGATCGTTTAACAGAGGTCAGACCCCCCTAGCCTCCGACGAGACTCCGCAGCTGTCTGTTAAGACGGCACCTTCATGGGGTTTCAAATTGTGAGAAATTTGAAAGAGAGCGGTTAAGTGGCCAAACGTCGGAGCGACCCGAGACGTCACTGTGGTGTCTTTGGAAGAGACGTTGAGCGGATCGCACACCTGCACGGGTATGAAAGGGGGATCAGAGGATGGTGGAGGCAGAGTAGGGAAACAGAGAAAAGGAGGAAGGACAGATTCAGAGAGGAGAGGAATGGAAAATAAGATGTTGGGAGGAGAGCAGAGAGCAGAGATAACAGGTTCAGAGTGTGTGTCATTCATATATCTTGCTTATAAAAGACTCCTTCTCAGACCTGAAAAGCAAATCGCTCACAGCATGAGCATCATTTCAGAATCACTGCTGTGTTTTGGAATCTATCTGTTTGAACAAATACACACTGGCACACAATGTACATGCACACAC